ATATATATATATACCGTTCAGAATAAGGTGAATGCGGAGGGTGCGAAGTATTCAATCTATTCACAGAGGAGATTGAAAAAAACGTATTCCGCTGCTATACCGACTTTTTGTATGCGGTCTCAGACAGATATTGATAGCCAGATGTGTGAATGGTAAAAGGTTGCGCTGTTAATGTGAGGGAGGAGATTGAAAAAAACGTAATGCGCTGCTATACCGACTTTTTGTATGCGGTCTCAGACAGATATTGATAGCCAGATGTGTGAATGGTAAAAGGTTGCGCTGTTTAATGTGACGTTTCGAGAAGAAATACTGTGATGCAAATATGAATCAAGATTAATAGGTATAACCACGATCGGGAAGGATAACGTATACCTGACACCTATATCAAACATGTTTCAACGCAGTTCGGTCCAGTGGCGCAAACTGCGATCTGTCAAGCTATCCAAATGAACCTGGTCGATCACATCACGGTGTTGTCAGAAAAGGTTCAGTTTAAACCAACAACCGCATTCGCAACCTACATTTAGCCAGGGTTTCACAGACAGCGTGGTTTCGGAAATGATAAGATTGCTTCTGAGCTCATAGGGCGACGAATATACAGTATTCTGAGGCCTTCGTAGAGTAAAGTTCTGCGAAACCAATACCGTCTTCCTAGTTCCATGCTTCTAGATTCCATAACAAGGTTAGATCCAATCAGAGGACGAAATCAACCGTTGGGAATGATAAGCGTAGTCTTATTTGCGCTTGAGCCAATTTAAAAGCCAACGAGCCCATGGTCCACTCACCTTGCCTCCAATATCCCCTGATATGTACGAAGTTCGCGCATAAATGTTGGGTTGGGTTGAATGCATGGACGGCGGCACTTGACAAATGCAAAGGCAGTATCCAAATCCCAATTGTGCTCTTTCATCACATACGCAATCACCTGATTAGGACAGTCAAGAAACGAGATAACGGAGGTGAGAAGGTGAAATGAGGTTAGAAAAGTGAGAAACTATAGTGGTTTGCAGTAGCTGCAGACGACAACTGTCAGTGAAGCTAGGTGGTTTAGAAAAAAAGGAGACCATATGGGTTGTTGCACAATTTTGTTGTCAACTGACACCGACTCAAAACAAAATCGTTGTTCTGGAACAGCATCACAAGCTATTGCAGAAAACAAGGTTCTGCCCAAAACAACAATGTGTAGATGTCACAGAGCGCTGAACTTTTAGCCTACCAGTCAAACAGTAAGATTAAAATCCAAAAAATTAGCTGACCAGCCAACAAACCATGACTAAAAAACAAAACAGGTCTGAGTGGTTCAAGTTTATGAGAGTACTGTATGATCTATCCAAAGAAACTGATTAGAATCAACTAGATGATCGATTTCCTTACTTGCCAATAGCCCTGAACATACGAATAGTAGATAAGTTCAGACACGAAGTCCAAAGTGAAACAAACAAGTGAAAGTTTCCGCTCAAAATGCCGACCGGATCGTGACAGAGAATAACTTCCGACCCTAAAACATGATAAAGTATAACAATAAGTGGGGAAAACGGAGATTACTCACCGCTGTAGCCGATCGACTTATGCCCATTTTGCAGTGAACCAAACAAGCCGTGCCTTGCGCTCTGAAAGTAGTACCGGTAGGTTAGCAGGACGAAGTTTCAAAGAGCAACCACAATTACTGAAAATCCCCTTCGTGTTAACGAATAAGTGAATAAAAACACACATGAGTTGGAGTGCTGTCTCTTTGATGGCCGACGGAAAAGCTGCCCGTTTTTCTCATAGGGAAATTAAATATAAGGACCGATTAAAGATGATCTCTTTTGGAAGGGATGCGTACGCTAAAAAAAAAGCTAAAAAGGATTAACTGCTCTCTTCCCGTATACGATTGGCAAAGGTTTGATGTAACCTGCGAAAAATCATTTGATCATTCTAGGCGCGTTTTTAATCAAAAGCAGTCACTTCTGAGAAATGACTTCCGCTGACCGTAGTCCTTCCAAGAAAAGAAAATACACATGTTTTGAGTGGACTTCTAAAGCACATTTTGACGGGCGATAACGGGAAAAGAGACGAGTATTCTAGTCCTCACCGCTGCATGTGTGATTCGGTGATCAAGCGAGAACAGGTAAATACGATATGGTATGGTCGCGATCAAAGTTGCCAGTCTTTGTGCGCTGCGCCTGTGTTTCGGTTAAGGTTTTCGGATGAGGCTGTAGCATTCCTTCGGACGCTATCCGACGTAATGCTCAGACATGCCTATATCACTGGTCCTTGGTTCTTTTCCATAAAGAGGATTTCTTCCGATAAAATTCCTACCTTCTCCCTCTCTTATTGCTTTACCGAAGCATGCTGTCCTCACGACGGCAGTTGAGTATTCACCACTCGCGCCTTGTTGTCAGTCAAGATGATGATGTCCAGCTCAGAGCAGGTACATCTCTTTGCGAAATACCGGATATGAGTAGGTTCGCCTCAAACAGCGATATGAAATGCATAGGAATTAAACGAGACTACAGTCACTCTGAGCATGGGAACTATATCTTGAAGACGTTCGTTTACCTATATTCTAAAAATAACTTGGAAACTCAAGCACAGTTAACAACCTTTAACTATCGCAGTATGTTGGACGTACGTAATAATAATAATAATAATCGTTCAGCTGTTTCACCCCTTCGGTGCCTAACTGCCATGCTACCCGAAGGAAGTATGAGGGCTAAGATACCGCCAGATTGCTCAAGTCTAAACCGGAGCGGTCGAGATGCTGAGGGTGGGTTCGAACCACGAACCTTCAGGCCTGTAAGTTCGCGCCTTAAGCACTGAACCATCTCGCCCCAGTTCAGCACACGGGTCTGTTTGGATTCTGCATCGTATCCCATGTAGTTAAATCAAATTAGTGACATACGAATGTCTCCTGTAAACCTAGACTCTCGCGAAATTTCGTTGACTGCACCGTTTTCAGTGCATGTGTCAGATTAATTTCTGGACAAATTTCTCCGTTCATGCATCCGACATTAGTGAGAAACTTTTTGTTATGGCGGGCGACCAAAAGAGAATCAGCAAAAAACCTTTTCTTCTGGATCTCCATGGTGTGAGTCCTGATCATGAGCCAAACAGGAATAGGATCCAATTTGATCACACGTTAACTCACTATCTTGATTCGTATCATTCCGAAATCTGCAAGCCTCTTACAACTCCCATTGTTTGTGTCCTTTCAGTCAGACATTCCCAACAGCATCTATTACTTTCATAAACGTCGTATCACCCCAGGTGGTATCGTGCTGCGTAGGGCTATCACGGTAACCTTGTTGCTCTTAATTGAGTCCGGATCTAATTCTGACTCATCTAGTTTCCAATTTATATGACTGGCTTTCCTCTTTTAAGTGCTGATGACTTTCATCCTTAGCCTCAAGTTGATTGGAACCAATTGATTTAAAGATTCTGTAGTGATGAGTTTTTTATCCTGCTCCAAATAAGTCATAATGTTGAGTGATGTATGAAGGATCTGACGGTGTCCCATTGACTGTACACAGATATTACCTAACATAGGGCGCTCCAAATGGTTAGCAATTGGTTCACATTCCATCTTAATTTGGAGTGCTTGAACAAGTATTTTATGGCTGATGAGGCTTTCTTGTTCTAATCGGAAACCAAGAAACAAACGGTTTTATACGTAAAATTATGTGCTCTTGCATGTTCCTTGCCAAAGTGCACTGTTCAATGGGTCTCGGACTACTTGAGAAGTCTTTGTAAAAAGCCTATTACACTAGTTTTTGCTTCCTGCCAATCAGGTTGCCAAAATAACCGCCATGTTGTGGTAACTAAAGTGATAATACCATGCACGCGTATTAGGTGGGTGGTGCGAGGGTGTTCCCGAGGATCCATAAAGTATAACTAACATTTCCCACGATTTTTAAATGCAACATTCCAGCTCAAACATCCATCCCGCAGCAGCGGAAGGTCGCAGGTGCAGTTCTTGGTTGATAAAGACGAAAATGACAGTGAATGGTGAATGTCCTCTTCACTACACAACCAGTAGGATTTTACCTGGGTGAGGAGTGCTCGTCAGGACAAACAAAAAATGTGATCTGTTCTACCGCTTTACTCCTTATACTTATTGCCTCTCAAGGTTCTTTATGAAAATAACTGCACTACAAACGTCTGAAAGAAGAATACGCAAAAAGATTAACACTTCCGGTCTTGTTTTACACTTCAACTGTAAGATACAACCCTTGAAGCTAAATTAGGCAACAATGAAGGTGCATCATGCGTCTCGACAAAAAACTCAATGACATCGAAAAACAACGATCTGAGAATGCTTAGCAACTGTGGGTGACACAATGACGGAGTCATGAGCTTGTACACGGATAGTGGAATGCCATCTAGGTTCGTCAGTTCAGTCCTGATAGCTGGAACTATATGGAGTGAACAAGGACCACATGGCCAGTGATAACCTTGAGGTTGAGTTCCAAAAAGGCTATGCGGTGTGTTGGTCAGAAACCTCCCTGTAAATGCTTGCAGTTGAATGTTGCAAAATATTGGTGCATCGTGGTCACTAAGAACGAAAACCGAGATCGTCTTGAAGGTGAATGCTATGATGTTGTTTGACCGGCACCGTTTTTCACTGCCGTTAGCGTAAGGAGTGGCACGACATAGTCAACGAAGTTTCTGGTAAGATGATTGACACTATTGAGCGCACACACTGAGAGAGGTTCGAGGCCCTGGTGAAGCTGTAGAAACATCAAAACCAGATAGTTCGCATTTTCATCATTACTAACATCGATAGCAATATGCCATTTGTAAACAACATTGCTCTACTGCCAACTGAGAACGTTACAAAACAAGAGCAGAAAGAAATCAGAAGGGTAAAGATTTAGCGTAAAAATTCCGTGTTCTTACGGAAGACGACCAAGAACAAGGGCATATCCACGTAGGAGCTGAGAAAGATATCAAGATTGAGGTTGACCTAACACTAACGAACCTCGTCGAATGCAAGCTTAGAATACAGTAACAGACGAACTTTGGCGGGGCAACCTGACTGCGAAGTAACACCATGCTTAGCATTGGGAATAGAGACGTGGTGTGTTCCGTAGTTTCTAGCCGCGTTAAACGAGCATTATTTGGACCTTATTGGTATGTGTAAAGATCCCGCAACATCCTGAATACAGCCACTTTCATTTCCCACTACCACGTTACGGGCCGTAAGCCGCAAATCTTTAGACAGTGACGCTTGGAGAAAGAGAAACGCTCTCGTCGGTAGAGGAACTTCGGACACGCCAAGTACATGTGGCTACAGCGTTAATCCGAATAACTTTGTTTGCCTAAGGAGACCGATTCATTATCAAACACTCATACATCGTACGCACAACCACTTATTGAGGATAGGTAGTAGCTACTCTAGTGCTAGCACGCAGCAAACACAACGATGATAAACTGTTTCTGGGCTTTGAGGGTCCTCGGATCGGGGGACCAAATGTAAACGATACAAAGTGAAACCGTTTGTACATTCGGACAATTCAGCCCATTATCTTCAGAGGAATTCATTTCTGAAGCAAGTCAGAAAACATCCCCTTGAAACTGTGTACATCTACTTAATGTCACAGCATACACATGGGGTGCGCCACTGTCACGGTATGTAAAGTTGTCAACAAAGTTAGGTCCCTCATTCTCACATTTCAGGGGAACACGGGAGGATTAAAAATCCTGATTACTGCAATTTGAAGAAAAGATGGCCTTTGGGTGAAGTACTAATTTGTCATTTATTTTTGAAGAGCATGGTCCCGTTTGGAAAGAAGTCTTGCACATGAGATTCCAGTCGGGACGAAAAACACTGAATTTTTCGGCGAAATCCCATCGAAGCAGGTACAGTGGGCTTTTTACGTGATCCTGCAATCAGTCGACTGCTACTTGTCGACCGCTGTCCCATTTTCTCACTGGCTGTTCGGTTGGACATCCTACGATTTATCGTCAGAAAACCTTGATATGAGCGAGTTCTCATGGAAGCGCACGGTCGGATAGTACAGGGGCGGCTGCGCACCGAAAATGGGTATGCTGACACTGGCGCACCTGGATGCAGCACCACCGTCCAAAGTATGTAGTCGACAGGTCCATATAGCGGAGGTATCATAAGCTCAGTTACCATACTTATACGTTGCATTTGACGTTTGGAAATTCAGCGAATTACTATCGGGAAAGTTATAAGCGAGCGGCTTGTTAGCTGATTTGCTTAGGAGTTCGGACTTTGAAAGCTGCTACAAAAAACAGCACCTGTCCAGCGAATCACTTTCCTGTGTACCTGAATGGTGAATTTACGGCTGAGATCGACAGAATATTAACTAGATGTGGAAAGAGAGAGGTTGAGAAGTGACAACGAAGAAAGATGGCAGTTGTCAGTTAGCGTGGGCTCACTTATTCGTCCTGTTGCACAGTCGATGTGGCGTGAAGGTGACTTGGTCTGCATGTGTATGTGGGCTGGAAAACCACCAGTGCATCTGAACTTATGGGAGAGAACGAACATTGTCCCACCCAGTCCTCTGCTCAAAGGACCTGACCACAAATAAGTGTGATGTTACCCAATTATTTTAAAGGAATGTTGCCAATCCACAGTTGCAGAGCCACCAGACCAACCAGATTGGGAAACTTTGTGGAAACTGTCTGGGAATCCTCCGACATGGCTTAATGAGCTACTGAAGTATGTCAACGGTCGCACTACGAGGTCCGATCGTTTCGCGACGTTAGGTGTGTGCAGTAACAGCATTTTTCAGCACCGACTTTGTACTCTAATCAATGTTCTAGCCCGAGAACTCACGCACAAATTTCTTGCCTGTGGGTACCATCGAAGTGTGTTTATTATGAGGTTTTCCGTGAAACATCGCATATGGAAGAGGGCACAACTGTTTGGTGATCCAGGGAAGAACACGTTGGTAATCCTTTGTCATATTCGGGCAGCCTGAAAATATATCTGGTCTCGTGCTTTCTAAGTTGTATGATGAAGATGCACCGATACGCCATAGTTAAATTTCTTCGTTTCACTCTGCCCCGAACGGAACACCATAAAAGCGTTGTGCTCGTACCACTGTTCAGTTGTAACACCCTTTCGATACCTAGCTGCTATGCCACCCGAAGGGAGTACGAGACACGGGATACTGCCAGGTTGCCCAAGCCTAGACAGGGGAGGTCGAGAAGCAGAGGTCGGTTTCGGATCACGGACCTTCCGGTCAGTAAATTCGCGCTCTAACCACTTGGGCCATCTCGCACTATAAACACCGCTTTATCAGGCGACAGAATTGGTTATGATACTGAATAGTCCGTTTTGGAAAGAATCCTAAGCAAAATATCTGGCACTGAAAATCCGTTCAGTTGCGGTGCACTTCTGGCGTACAGCTGTCATGTAACTTGAAGAAAACATGGGGGTCAAGACAAGCACAAGGATACTGCCAGGCGGCCCAACCCTAGATAGGGGAAGTTATGATGCAGAGGTTGGGTTCAAACCACGGACCTTGCGGTCAGTATTTCACGCTTAACCGCTGAGCTATGCTGAGCTCAACACCAAAACAAGGAGAAACCAGTTCTAGCAACGACCACTGAGTAGGCAAACCCGACTCGCAACTTACTTCGCCTCGTTGATGAACCGGTGGATTTCTTCAAAATGGGACAAAAGTGATGACTGTTCATCGTCGTACACACGTATATTCTTATATTCGAATTTCTCTCCTGGAAAAAAGTTGTCCACCTCTCTGGTGACGTTCAGAATGTGTGAGACAGATCGGCGTTCTAGTTCAGCTCGATTGGATGCATTAAAGGTAGTACCGAGAAGCAAATGATCCAGTATAGCACTGGCTTCATCCATTCGCCCGTAGATGGTTAGGACTTCTTCCTCAATGAAATGTCGATAATCCCGTAATGGTTGCTGCAGTTCCTCTTCGAGACGTTGGCGAAGCTGTGGTAAAAATACTTGAACATTAGAAGCATGCTACAAAATATATGTAAATTCGAAACGGCCACGTTCACAACTTCTTATGTTAAGATGTCACAGCAATTTCTGCACGTTAGGTTGACGCAATTCCCAAGGTGACCTGAAGTGCCTGAAGTAACTCGATTTTAAAGTGACCCATGCGTGCAACTCTTCGGGTTTCATAACAGCGGCTGAAAACACCTTAGGAGATTTCTGTGGACAGACTTTCGAATTCCCAAAGACACCAAAATTTAGCACAAAAAGGTGCTTCAAAATACCCAAAAATTACAGTTCAGTATCCTCCTTTTCTGCCAAGAAATCTTCAACCAACAGCTTGAAGAAAGCTTTTTTCTGGATTCTCTACCTCCTCTCCGTAATAAAAACCCATCCATGTGACAACCTTCCGGGGATTCGAAGTGTTCAGCAACGTGAATCTGCTGGAATGTAAAAACACGTTTGCCTGTAGCTGTGCCTAACTGCCATGCCGCCAGAAGAAAGCACGAGGGCTAGGATACTGCCAGTTTGCCTAAGCCTAGACAATGCGGAGTCGAGAGGCAGAGGTTAGATTCGAGCCAGGGACCTTCCGCTCTAACTACTGAGTCATCTCGACTCTACACTGTCAATAATTGGCAGTAGTTGAACAGGAGGTACCACCTCTATAGATTAACAAGCGGTACTGTCACGTTTCTTTCGGTACACTCCACAGCGGCCACCACATTCAGAGATAACTTCATCGATGAAGATGATGATGATGATGATGCATATGTAACAGTAATGAATCTACATGCAAGAAACCTGTGTATGCCCAATCATTTCGTACGCAACATGAGGTGTTGGGCGGAAGTAGTATCTCAGAATGTGGTTGCGGTGTTTTTGCCTCAGTTGGCGATCCAAAAAACAAACCATACACGATGAGCGGTCGACATTCAAATAATGTCAGACGCGGGCAAATCTATTCAACACAATCCTGTTGACCCGTGTCAAGATATTTCGGTGACAAACACATCACAAGTATGAAGCCAATGGTAACAGCATACACTGGGTAAACTTGGAATCGGTTCACCAACCTTTTTCAATGGCTGTACAGTGCGTATAGGTCGGAGGGATGTACTATGGGCACAGATTCCGAAGTGAGCCAAGCAGCAACTCCATCCACAGCTCTGGGAGCTGTACCATTTAACCTTAACCACTCCATCAGCACAAATCAATGGGCTACGTCTTGCGAGCTTAAAACACCGTTATTCATTGAATCCAGAAACTCTTAGCATGTACACATACCTGTAACACTGTAACCTCCTCCAGATCAACCGAGTACATGATTTCCTGAAGTTTCGCTGCCAAGAGAGTCTCCATCCGGCGACGTTCTTTCCTATGTCATTGGAATGGAATGAGACTTTAGGGAAAGCATCAATCTAAACTAGGGGAAACCGAAAACGATAACATGAAGCATTTGCCAATCCTAATTTGACGGTGGACCACTCATAGAAGATGTGTGCATCATAAGTGGCTGGCAGAGTTTAAAAATTTGAGCATGATTCAATGCATTAATCTAAGCAACTCGAGTAAGATGTAACCTTTTCATCAAGCCTAAATGGAACTAGAACATAGAATGAACGACTATTCTGCTGGCTTAAGTAGTTCATGTTTAATATGAAACGACCATGACCTGAGGTGTTCGGTCTTGCTACCCCTATTGTAATTCAGCCAAACCACAGTCGTTTGGGACAACTTAGATGCTACAAGGCCAGGCCTAACGGGCACACCTAGTTTCACATATATGCCCCAATATCTTTTCTTTGATAAAGATGTGACTTGACTAGAACTTTGTTCCCCACATTGAAGATGTTTCTTTTGCGTTTAACTGGTCTCAAATGATAACACAACTGAGCTTCCTAAATGGAATCAGAAAAACTAACTTCATTGTCAAAATTAGTGTATCCGAAGACATCAATGACTGAGAAAGTCATGCTTTTTAATCCTAATCAGGGACTCGGCTCTCAGAATATTTTCACACTTACTGACCATCCAACCCAGCCTGCGAAATACGCAAGGTTGTCATTGTCCACATGTTCCGTTTGTTGGTTTATACAGCTGTTTGTTTACACAGCGATCATCACATCAACCATCTCCGCCCGTTCCCCACTTTCACAATGATCGCTACTACCTGATGAGATGTCTGGCGGTACGCCCCAACAAATGGCGAAGGTGAGCGCCAACTTTCTAGACCACACTACCAAATACACCTAGGTGGCTTTTGAAGTCATGATCCCATTATAACCCACTTTTTCAAACCCGACACATTCCCACACGAAGAAGTCCGTCTCTATACTGGTGAAGGAGCGGTGTTTGAGGTTGTTTCCCCCGAGCCACAGCGAGAAAGTGAAACACAACCCGTTTTAAACGGGAAGGCGGAAACCCGTGGCACACTACTCAGAGCTTCACAAACATCTCTACAGCTGTTGTACTCACTTATACCAAAACCCCATTAAATTATTTTCTTACGTCACGTTACGAGTTCGTTCCTGCATGTATGTCTAATCGCTACCGTTTCGAACCGACTCCCCTATTTTTGCATTGGACAGGTGGAAATTTGGGAAACCTTATGCGTAAACTAGATTAAGCACAACGCAGATACAGTGGATTTGTCGATCCACTTTAATCGCTTCTGCTTTGATACGTAGCGCACCCAAACTTTCCTAGGTCCGTCAGATAGGCTGACCGTCAATGACGTCTTATGCAGGTGCATACAATACCGAGGTCACTAGGGCTGAAAACTAATCCAAGTGCACACTAACTTACTGCAAAATAAAAATCACGCTAAAAACTAATCCTTCGACCCGTAATCTAGAAAGAGAGATGAATAACAGAAGTGATGTGTGGCGTGCAAGCAGGTAGGTATGGACAAAATTAATTACGAACGCATAAATGATCCTTCTAAAGTGGCTTACTCCTCATCAGTGGCGTCGTCCGATAAGGGGGCTTGTGGAGGAACGTAGCGGTTAAAGCTGTCGATATCGTCCGTCTTCAACCATTCCTGCATCTGACAAGTATCCGAGGCAGGCAAGTTGTGATAATAACTGATCCAGTCATGCGTAAGTCCTCTGGAAAAGTATGCGTTTGTTCTGGCTACGTGACATGCTCTGTTAACAGCTTGAAACGCAGCCCAAAGCGCTTGAACAGAGACAGGTTTGAACTGCTTTTCGGTGTCCTTTGTCACCAATTCCAACCCCCTATGGAAGTGCAAAATGGACCGAAAACATTTAATTCGTGGAGTGGTTCCCGTTGGAAAGATGTTGAAAGTTTGAATGGATAGTGTTACACCGATAGGAAGCTATGATGAACTCCACAAATAAAAATTACCGTTGCTCTAATTGGAAGTCGGAAGTGAGAAAACTGAAATATATGGAAGGTTTGCAATAAATGCACTTGATGCGGAGTTGTGGGACTCAGCTGGTTACGCAAAATGCTTAGTACATAACCTGCAATAAGGCAAATACCGTTTTCATGACAGACAATATTCATAACAAGCTTCCAGAGAAGGAACATATTATCCCGGTCCTACACACTTTGTGATTAGGCAAATGACCAGATAACCAATCCCCTCAAATATGGACATGGACCGTAACGAAGAGACTGGACCTTACCGTGGTGTGACGGTTTGCGCACCTCAGCGATCCATTGAGCTACACTGGAGAGTGTCCCGCGACACTCACAGAGTCTCTCATACCAGGTTGGTCAATGGTTAGAGGTCTGACGAACACAGTCTCCTGGCCCTCCAGGTCGAGGGTTGGAACATCTGGCGACTTGTTCCGTAGAAATGGTAATGCATTTGCATTTCCCGCCAAACACCG